GTCTGTTGACTTTGTGGTATCAGTTTCCATTTTTGTTTCATCAATTATCTCTCCTTTTTTAGTTTCTAAATTTCCAGACTTGACTAGGGGAGTCTCCTTCTTTTGATTATATGTGTATTCTCTCTCTTTTTTTTTAAGTTGTTTTTTGTTTAATTTTTCTACACATATGCCTAATTCACCTGGACTTAATTTTTGTATCCAGTATGAAGGTATAGGTCCATTTTTTTTTTCCTTTAAGTGGCTAGCCAGTTGTGCCAGCCCAGCACTATTTATTAGACACTCTTTTTTCCCATTGTATTGGAATTCAACTCTCAAGATGTTTACTTCTCATAAATCCTGGGATCTAATTCTGGATTCTCTATTTTGGTCCAATGTACAATTTGTAAACTGCTATACCAATACCATAAAACTTGGTCTGGGCGCAGTGGCTCAGGCCTGTAATCCTAGCACTCTGGGAGGCCAAGGTGGAAGGATTGCTTGAGCTCAGGAGTTCGAGACCAGCTTGAGCAAGAGCGAGACCCCCGTCTCTATGGGGGGAAAAAAAGAAAAACATAATGACTTGATGACTGTGGCTTTACTGTATATAAAGCCACGTTCTGATTTCTGGCAAGCCACTGGCATACCATCACATTTGTATATCATTGATCAAAGCAAGTGACATAGTCACACTGAGTCAGAGGGTGGGACAGTACTTTCCATCCACAGTGAGGCCACAGCAAGGGTGTGGATGCAGGGAGGGGTGAAGATTTGGGGCCAATAATACAGTCTGTCACAAAGAGGTAGTAGTGCATTCACACGGTTCATAAATAGTATGCAAAGGGGTAGAGTTTTTTAAAAATATAAACTGAAGCAGATAAAAAGATATTCCTATTAACCATTACCCCGATCTTTTTTCCCCCAACAAAAAAGTACTCTATACACAGTGTTGTACATTTGGCTTTTTCAGATAACAATAGAGCTTGAAAATCATTCTTTATTAGGACAGAGCATTCCTTGTTCTTTTTTTTTTTTCAAATACAGAATATTCTATTGTATGGTTGGTATTGTATGGTATGATAATAATGTATTATCTAGTCTCCTGTTGATGCATTTCCATTCTTTTGCAATGGTAATCATTACCATAATGAGTAACCTTGCACAGATATATATCTGTAGAATAAATTCCCAGAAGTAAAATTGCTGGGTCAAAGGATGGTATAGGTGAGTTTGATAGGTATTGTTCAGTTCTGTATATAGTTGTACCAGTTTATGTTCCCAACAGTCAAGTATCTAAGTCCCTGTTTTCTATTATAAATAGCTTCCCCAACAGAGTGGTTTTCAAACTTTGGATTTCTGCCAGTTGAAAAGGTGAGAAATAGGTGCATTTCTGAGTGACCTGGAGTTCCTTTTCATATGCTTAAGAACTGGTTTTTTTCTTCTCTGTGAACTCTGTTTATCTTTGCCTGTTTTTAAATTGAGTTGTTCATTGGTTTTATTTTGTTTTGTTTTTTTTCCCCATCATTTCCAGTAGGTATTTATATATTTGTCTGTGATAGGAATTGAAAGTATTTGGAGTTTGTCACTTGTCTTCCCAGCTTTGTCTATTATATGTGCTCCTGTATAGAATTTGATTTCCGTGTAGTTACATTTATTCATCAGTCATAATTAGAAGGGCCTTCTGCACTATAAGGGTTATAAAGCACTTAGCTTGTGGGGTTTTTTTTCCTAGTATTAATATTTTTATGTTTTCTTTAACTTCGTTTTCTTCTCTCTCTCTCTCTCTCTGTACTAGAGATATACTGGTTTCACTTTTTAGCCAAATGCTGAATGTGTGTCAAAATCAGATGAGGTAGGATAAAGTTCTAGAATACCAAAATTTTATTTAAAAAAATTTTTAAATTATTACAATTTTATGATAACATTTTAATGGTTATATTTAGAAAATTTGGCAGTCTACTGCAAGAACAGTGATTTCTCAGTGCCACTAGCTGTTTGGTTGCTCTTATGGTCCTTATACTATGTGTCCCTAAAACTGAGTGACTCACTTTTGACTGAGAAGGGAGACTTTGTGCAAGAATAACCTTGAAAGACACGGGACCTAATCAGAAGTAGCTAAAAATTAAATACATCCCTTAAAGGTTATTTCGTTTAATATAAGTGCTAAGGTGCCAAAAATTTTACAAAGATTTAAGTTAACTTAATTTAATTTTATTTTTCCATATGTTGTTATTCTATAGACTTTTAAAGCACTTATTGGGCCAAAAAGTATATGTTCTTAGTTATCTAACAAATGTGTCCCTTAATACTCATGTTTACTGAAAAATCTATTTAAGTATTTTCTAGTTCTCAGAAACTACATGAGATTAACAAGCTTTCACAGTCACCAATTATTGCAGCATTTTTTTAAATTTATTTTTTTGATTTTTTTTTGTCTTTCACAACCTTTTATGAATCTGAAAGCATTTTACTCTTATACTAAATATGCTTTTATACATCAGTTGACAGAATTTCAACATATAAAGTACATAAAGCGATTTTTAGTCTGGTTACAACTAGGATGTTGATCTTTATTTGAAAGCAAATATTCAGATAGTACCAATAAATCTGAACAAAACCCCTCGACAGTATTATTGATGCTGTTACGCTGCTTAAATACTACCACACGATAACAATCCACACAGGTTCAGAAAGGCTGCTGAAGGCGGTCTTCAGTTCTCTAGCATTCCAGAAGCCAGATAGTAGATGTTGATCAAATATTGAGTTTGTTTATATTTCTGACTCAGTTGGAACTTATGTTGAGTTGCAGTATGAGCTATAAATACATTAGTTTTTTTCCAGGCAGCTACCCAGTGGTCTCCAAACCTGGAATTGAACCTGCTGTCTTTTTGCCAATGATTTGTTGAGACCACCTTTATCATAAATTGTCATCTGTTTCTGAACCTTTGGTTCCCCTGGTCTGACCTTATAACCTGTAGCATACTGTTGTTCGTTGTCAAGCCTCTATAACTGTGTGTCCATTGTATCTGGAGCAGGGCGTTCCCCCATCTCTTCTTTTTCAGACTTCTCCTGGCCATCCTTACTTCGTTGTCACAGGATCTTTCAAATCAGTCTCCCTGTGCCTCCTACCCCAAATAAAAGTATATTTGTATTTTTATTAAAATGGTATTAAATGTTTCAGTTTAACTTAGAAAGAACTGATTTCTTCATGGCACTGGGTCTTCCTCTCCATGAACACAGTGTGTCTGCATTTCCACAAGCATTCTGTATCCTGCAGTACAGCCTTGCATATTTGCTGTTACATGAATTCCTGGGCATTTTATCTTTTTTGTTGCTGTTTGACGTGTCAAGCTTAGGGTCATTTAAACTGATTCTAGCTGGGTGCAGTGACTCACGCCTGTAATCCCAGCACTCCAGGAGGCCACAGTGGGAGGATCACTTGAGCTCAGGAGTTCAAGACCAGCCTGAGCCAAGAGCGAGACCCCATCTCTAGAAAAATCAGCTGGACATGGTGGCATGTGCCTATAGTCCCAGTTATTTGGGAGGCTGAGGCAGGAGGATCTCTTGAGCCCCAGAAGTTTGAGGTTGCAGTGAGCTACGATGACACCACAGCACTCCAGCCCAGGCAACAGAGTAAGACTCTGTCTCAAAACAACAACAAATACCGATTCTAGTATTGTACTCCTAATTATTACCACCTTGTTTTTAATCAGGCACTTCTGGTATCATGCTATTCACTACCTCTGAAGACCCTTTGGGGGTAGGTGTTAATATGACTCCATCTAGAGATAGTAGCATATGTTGCATAAATGAATTGGTCCTCATTTTGCAGTTGAAGGAACTGAAGATGAAAGAGGTTAAGTTGCCCAAAGACACCCAGTTAGTCTTAGGGTGGAGGATTGGGGTGTACACTCCCAGGTTCCTCTCTAAACACATGCCTCTGGCCACTGCAGGGTACAGTTAGCAGGATGGTAAAGGTCTTGTGGGGACGACACCCACACGTGAAACCTCTGTTGTGTGCTTCCTGTATTACTTTATCTCCCACCACCCCCTCCCCCAGCAACCCTGTACGCGGAGGTATTGTTACTACCCTTGCTTTGCATATGAGGAAACTGAGGCACAGAGAAGGTAGTTTGCTCAAAGTTAAACAGATTTCTTTATTACAGCACTTCTCAATGCCCTTACAACAGCATTAACACTGTTCAGAAGAAGAAGTGGTTGTTAGTGGGGCAGCTGGGCCGCTGCTGGGCATTTTTAACTTTTTAAACTTTAACTGAGAAGTTAAAGATGGTCTCTTCCACCTGTTTAAATGCATGATATTCAATTGTGTATGCATTCTATTAGTCTTTTTTTTTTTTTTATAAGAGTCAGGGTCTCACTCTGTCACCCAGGCTGGAGTGCAGTGGTGCAATCATAGCTCACTGCAGTCTCAAAGTCCTGGGCTCAAGTGATCCTCCTGCTTCACTTTCCCAAGCAGCTGGGATTACAGGTGTGTGCCACTACACCCAGCTAATTTTTTAATTTTTTGTAAAGATGAGATCTTGCCATGTTGCCCAGACTGGTCTCAAGCTCCTGGACTCAAGCGATCCTTCCTCCTTGGCCTCCCAAAGTGCTGGGATTATGGGTGTGAGCCACCACACCCGGCCCATTAGTTTATTCTTAACACTAGTTATCGTTGTGAGCTTCCAAGAGAAGGCAGAGCATGCTGCTCTTCTCAAATGGCTGGTCACCACCTGCAGTCCTGATAGTGCCTCGGCTCATGGCTGAGTGCTGCATGGACGTTATCTTATTTAATCCTTAGGACAACCTTGTGCACCTCATGAGCTATGATGAGTCCCATTCTGCAGGTGAAGAGCCCAAGTCCCAGAAGGTTAGGGGACTCACCCAGCTCTGTGGCATCTAGGAAGTCCAGTGCTGGGACTCATGCCCAGGTATATCTGACCCTTTGCATCTCCCGGGTCTGCGGGCACCTGATGGATGCTGCCGTTTGCTCTCTCGGATAATTTTGCTCTTCTCTCACTCAGAGCCACGATCATGTCTCTGGAAGACTTTGAGCAGCGCTTGAATCAAGCCATTGAAAGAAATGCCTTCCTGGAAAGTGAACTTGACGAGAAGGAGAATCTCCTGGAATCTGTTCAGAGACTGAAGGATGAAGCCAGGGGTAGGAGGCCCTGGCATTTGTTCCGTGTCTTCACCAGCGTTGTCCCCTCTTCCTCCATGGGAACCTTTTGTCCCATGGCCTTATGCAGGGTCACATCTGCTGGGAATCTGCACCCTGCTCTGCACACAGGAGGTCCAGTCAGAGGTCATGGGACCACACCAGGCAGGATCTTGCTTTGGTCCCTACCTGGTGCTAAGAATTGTCCAACCCCATAAAGACCCCTTATGGGTATTTACAGAAGTAGCGTTGGGGTTCACAAGATTAAGCCCTTGTTTTGGGGTTTTGCAGAATTCATTTCAGGAAAGATTCTCCCTGGTCTATAACTCACACACTCACCAGAATGGCTTGATGCATAGGAGGAGGACAAGACTTGTGGGAGAGATTTCTGGTGGAATTGCTAGCTTGGCCTGTTATTTTTGTGACTCAATAGCAACTGATGCATTTGGCTTAGTACTTTGAAAGCTCTTCAGAGGTTGGCAGTTCCAGAAGCAGAGTTTCCAAACTACAACAAGACATTGATAGGTGAATGATCCAAGTTTGAGTATAGAAGAGATTTTTTTTAAGTCTTAATTAATTGTATGTAACATTAATTTAGTTTCTTATGTGTAGCAAGTAGATGGAGGATTAAAGAGAAAAACTCCTAAGTTTAAAAAGTAGCTATTCCTAAATGCCCATCAGTAAATGGTTAAATAAATGACATGGATTTATTTTGTAGAATGTTAAGCCATTGTTAAAAGTAGCAAGGTAGAGCTGTCCATGCAGTCCTGGAGAGATTGCCAAGGCGTACCATTGAAGGGGGAGAATAAGTCATAGACGGATGTTGTATGTTTCCATTTATGGTCAATAAAAACTATTTCTATTTTATGCTTAATAGATCCATACATACGTAAAAAGTATGTGTTTGTGCAGAGAACAAAGGTTGAACAGATCCTCCCACATGTTATAGTGATTATTGATGAGTGAGGAGGGGCATTTGGGGGTACGTTGGAAAGCACATTTCGATTTAGTATTCTGTATACATTGCTGTGTTGGAATTCGTTTTTAATAATAAAAGTATTAGTGTGTCACTGCCATAGTTTGTAAAAAATTTTAAACGCTGTGCTGAGCATGGTGGCTCACACCTTGTAATCCCAGCACTTTGGGAGGCAGAAGTGGGAGAATCACTGCCAGGGGTTTGAGAATAGCCTGGGCAACATAGTGAGACGTTGTCTCTACAAAAAATAGAAAACTTAGCTGTGCATCGTGGCGTTCCCTGTAGTCCCAGCTCCCCGGAGGCTGAGGCAGGAGGATCGCTTGAGCCCACGAGTTTGAGGTTGAAGCACGCTATGGTGATGCTGCAGCATTCTGTCTAGTCCAGGCAGCAGAGTGAGACTTTCTCAAAAAGAAAAAAATGTTAAACCGTTTGCTTTTTACTTGAAAGAAGTCCTGTCATTTTGCAAGCCTGCTAGGCACGGTCCTGTGGGTTTCACTTCATTCAGGGTTTCCACCGGGAGTTTTTCACCCTGGTAGTTCTCCCTGAGCAGCATCTACTGTCACACCTCCCCACCTACACCCTGCCGACCCAAAGCAAGGCTTAAACATCTGAATCCTTCTCCTGGCACAGATTTGCGGCAGGAACTGGCCGTGCAACAGAAGCAAGAAAAGCCCAGGACCCCCTTGCCCAGTGCAGTGGAAGCTGAAAGGACAGACACTGCCGTGCAGGCCACTGGCTCCGTGCCATCCACTCCCGTCACGCATCGGGGACCCAGCTCCAGTTTAAACACACCAGGGACCTTCAGGCGTGGTAAGGGATCGGGAGTCTGGGGGGATTTTGTTGCTCGAAGCATTCCAGGGTGAGAATCTGGGGTCCCGGGTGTGAAGCTTTGGAGCAGATTGTATAGCAGGGAGCAAACTGGGATGGTTGTGGCAGTGGCGCATCAAGACAAATCAAAAGAGTGTCTTAGGTGTGAGGCAGTAGGGAGTAGTGGGGTCTGTGGTGAAGTGGAGAATGGAAACCCCATCTAGAGGGGTGGCAGTCACACTGCTGCTACCATAAGGAATGTGGGCCCTTCGTTAGCAGAATTGCCCATTCTTTACCAAAACTCAGAAATTCTCTTTTTTGAATATGAAACCTCCCAAATTTGCAATGTCAGTGCCTAAATAATAAAAATCAAAAAAGCATTTTGTGAGCCCAGCAAAACATCCATCTAGAACTAGACGCAGTGTGGTAACCGTGTTGTGTGAGGAACAGCGAGACATCTGAGCTCTCGCCCTAGCCCCTCTGCCGATTGCCTAACTGTGAGACTCTGATCGGGCCACTTATAGCAAATGCTAATAACAGACAGTTATTGGGTGCCCGGTATGTGCTGGCCACTCTGCTCAAAGTGCTTCGAGTTGTGATCTCACTGAATTCTCACCACAGCCCACGTAGCAAGCGCTGTCCCCACTGAGTCCGAGGCCCTCACAGCAAGTCAGTGGCAGAGCTGGGACTCAAACCCAGGCAGGCCTGCCAGCTCCAGGCTTCCACTACCATCTACTGCCTTTTCCTTTAGATGTGCCCTGGGGACAGAGACTAGTGAAATCTCTAGAATCCCAGGCTAGAGTTGCCTATGTAGTTGTATGTGCACAACTCACCTGGTTAAAATGCAGACCCAGCGGGTCTGGGTGGGGCCTCCACTCAACATCTGGCCACATCTCGGCCAAGTGCCCAGGTGACGCTGGTGCTGCTGGGCCGCAGACACCACTCTGAGGAGAGAGAGGGGCTCTGTCATGTGGGACCCTCATAAAGCTGGCTCGAGCTCCCCACCTCTGTTGTGTTTATCACAGATTAACTATACGGAATTCCACAAATTTCCAGAGGACTTGTTTTGGTTTTGTTTAAAAAGACTAACATGTAAAAATAAATGTTTGATATCATCGTCACAAGGACTTGAAGTGTGGGTCGACAAATAGGCTATCGGTGTGTTACGCAGTTGGGTGCAACAGGGCAGCTCCAGTGCTAAGGGAAGGTGTCATATTTAGAGATGTTAGTGCACAGGTGTGACTGTGGATTGGTGTGTAACGTGCACTTACTTTGCACACCCAGGCCTGGACGACTCCACTGGGGGGACCCCCCTCACACCCGCAGCCCGGATATCAGCCCTCAACATTGTGGGAGACCTGCTGCGGAAAGTGGGGGTAAGACTGTGTGCCCCTTTGGGGTTCGGCGTGCCTCGCCTGTCTTAGGGGATAGTAGAGGGGGCTAATCTTACCAGTTCCTTTCCTTGCAACAGAGGCGTCCTGAGTTTTAGGCGTGGTGGGTCCTTGAGTGTCCCGGGGAATCATTAGCGCTTTTGTGGGAGTTACTGCCAGACACCCAGAGCTCTGACCCTGCCTCTCTGACCCTGCCTCTTCCCTTTGATCCCTAGGTGTGTCTTTTTGTCCTTATGCCATTTTTCCTGCAAGCAGTTTGGGAAATTAGGGTGGTTTCTATGGTTTTTTCTTAATTTGAAAAAACTGAGGAGCATTTATAAAGTGCCTTCTCTCTCTCTCTCTTTTTTTTTTGTTTCTCTGGGAGTTTTAAGAGAGGATCTTGAACAGACTAGGGCAAAGCATTTGGCCTTCAGGTTTTATATTAATTACAGGGAGGGATTCTTTTGTGCTTAAGCAATAATGCAGCTATTCTTTGTAGTTGTTTGTTTTTTAAAATGACGCCTGGAAGGCCATGCCATTTAATTCCTGCCAGCGTGTCATTGAACGGAGAGCGTATGTGTTCATAGCTGCATCTTCACAGACGCTTGCAACTCATTTCTTACGTTTTTACTTTTGGCTTTTGATTGTGGGGTTTTCTATTCTCTAAATAGGCCTCTTTTCATATTTAGCATGGTTCGGAGTACAGAGAAGCCTGGGGTGGCCTCAGTGGCCTTTTGGTTTCCCTAGGGTCCGTTCACCACCAGGCCAAGCCCCTGTTCAGAACTCCCGCCACTCTGTGCGTGTTTAACAAGGTAAACAAAAGAGTGAACAATGCTAAAAGTTAACTTCATGTTTACTACAGGCAGAGTTGGATTAATCAGGGTTAGTGGTCTTCCCAGATATCTTCAGCAGGTGGTTCAAAGACTTGGATATATGTTGGATTCTCTTGGCGCCGGCCCCTCCTTGGAATTCCAGCGCAGCACAGTTTGAGAACCATTGCTTTGGGTTCTTTTCTATGCCAGTGAGAGAGAAGAGTTCCTGTCTTGAACCTGAGAGTTAAAAGCACGTTTCTCTCCAGGCGCTGGAGTCCAAGCTCGCATCCTGTCGGAACTTCGTATATGATCAGTCCCCAAACCGAACAAGTGGCCCAGCCTCAGGGCGGGGGAACAAGAACAGGGACGGCAGCGACAGATGGCAGAGCAGCACCACCGCACCTTTGGGTGATAAAGGGTCAGTGCCTTTTTGATAAACCTCTTAGTATCGGGGAGAATCTACCTACTGCAGGTCCAAGATGCTAATGCCTAATGCATAGCCATTTTTTTTTTTTTAATTTGAAAATGTCAGTGAACTTTATCCTCTACTCCCCTCCCTGGAGGCAGAATTAGGTGGCAGCTTCTGGTTTGGGCAAAGGGCCAAGGAGAGTGCCATTTTCATCATTTGATCCTATAGCCCTGACTCATGGTCATGCTGTGAGAATGTCCTGTGTAAATCCTTTGTTTGGGAGTTGAGTTTCCAATGTCGTTCTGCTTCCCCTAGATTTTCTTTTTTTCTTTTGAAATCTATAGAATCTTTAAGAAACTAGCACGGATTTCTAGCCAGGCTATATTCCTTGGGCAGGCGCAGTGGCTCACACCTATAATCCTAGCAATCCTGGAGACTAAGGCAGGAGGATTGCTTGAGCCCAGAAGTTGGAGGTTGCAGTGAGCTATGATGATACCACTGCACTCTAGCCTGAGCAAGACGCTGTCTCAAAAAAAAAAAATCCTAAAAAACAGTCATCTGACTGGAAAACACAGGTCTGACCTCTAATAGTGTCAGTTATTTTCTTGCCTAAAGAAAATCGGGGCAGCTTCTGGATTCAGGAATTATGTGAGGTGTGTCACTAGCTTCCTGGACCCCGAGCCACGTAAATTCCATGGGTCTGTGATGGACACCTGACAGGAAATTCAGACTCGTTACTATGGCATGCGCTTAACTTCTGGACCTGCAGAAGAGAATTCTTTAAAGATTTTTTTTTTTTAAGTTTTGAATTGACAAATAAGTGGATGTTTCTGGAGGCTCATCTGAGACTGGGCTTTTTGTGCAAGCTTGAGAATCTGAGAGTCGGACAGCCAGTGTCCTTTTCGTCATTTCGTAGGAGAGAAAGTTGAGGCCCTGTGAGGGCCCGCTCCCGACTCTTTGCTATTCACCCTTGTAACTTTGTGGGCCCAGATATGTCACCGCTGTCATGTCAGCTTAATTTGGTTTGCTCTGTCTGAAGGTTGGGAAAACGCCTGGAATTTGGGAAGCCGCCTTCACACACATCCTCACCGTCGCTGCCGTCAGCCCAGGGTGTAGTCAAGATGTTGCTTTAGGAAAACCACGCAAGCGGAAGCCCCTGGTGTTTGTGCAGGAGTTGTTACCTTTCTTCGTCTCTTTACACTAAGTTTTTGTTCTATTCTGTATTGTTTGAGGTTAGTTTGAGATGTGAGCCAGCAGTCACCATAGTTCGCTTTGTGCTTTGTGGCCCAAGCCAATGACTGAGGCCATCCATCAGCTGTGGCCCCTGGGGTTCGTCTGTCCCTGTGAAATGTCTCATCATTCCTGGCCTCCCTCTCGGTGCGTGCATTGGTAAGAGGGACAGACCGGGCCCTCTGGGGAGGGCTCCAAAGTGTGGGTGGTGAGGCTACACCCTCATGCCGAGCCAACCCAAGAGGAGTCCTCATCGCTCTTGGGAGGTGTTTTTAATGTCCTGTCTCAGAGGCTCTCCCCCCATCCCCAGTCAGCTGGAATTGTCTTCCAGAGCAAGATCCCCCAGTGCTTTATGGCGTGCTGAAATCATGTCTAGGAGTAGAGAACAGAATGGTAGGCACACGCCTTTTTTTAAACTGTGGTAGTGTACCTCTGAGACTTTTTAATTTGCCTCTCATTGAGGTTTTTAGAGGTGTGTTTGAGTTTCAGAGTAATTTTCAGGTCAACCAGGGTTGGTGGGAAACCTACGTCCTGTTTAGGTAAATCCTAACCATTAGATTTCCCGAGTCCCCTGCCCTGGCGTGGAGGTGACTTCTGCTTCTGGACCTTGGAGGTCACTGGGGTAGAGGTGGCCTTGGTCATGCAGCCCCCAAGAACAGGACTCATTCAAAGCCATCATGAAGTCACCAGGTTTATCTTCAAGTAAGTTGAAAACACAAGATTGTTGTTGGCAGCTTCCTTGTCAAAGAAAGAAACCAACACCAGATTTCCAAAGCACAGCAGCGTGTCTGCTTGTCACTGCGTGTTAGGGACCGCCGCCCCACGCTTTCAGATGCAAGTAAAAGAAAGAGCACACTAATTTCAAGGTCGTGCACGCAGCTTCATGGCCTTCCTTTTGTTACTAAGTTATTTTCTGAAAGAACAGCAAAAGTTTCCTGTCGTTGAAAATAGAACATTTTAAGCGAGACCGAACCTCGGCAGAGGCGTAAGCTGCCGGGTGGGTTCGTTACTCGAGAAACATTCTAACCAACCTGTATTGGTAAAAGATGTACTTTTATTTTTTTAAAAGAATAATAAAATCAAGAGGAACTAATGTTCACCTAGTTTGTGGTGGTGGTCAGTAATGGCGCTTTATATGTTTGCACTTCCTTATTTGCTGGGATGGTGGTGACACTTTCACCTTTGTTTTTTAACCAAGTAACGAAAGATGAAGAAATGTGCTTTTTAAAAATGTCTATTCAAGTCAACTTTTTAGAGAAGCATTTGGGATACAGTTGGTCATCATTCAAGGTATGTTAACATTTGGTCTATGGTAGGTAGTCATTTTAGTTTTTTTATTTCCTGTTTTATTCCACCGAGTTGGTGTATATGGAAAAGTACGTGTTGACAAGAACCTTTGCAGGGCATGTCTGTCTAAAACACGCAAGGTGAAGGAGACAGGGTCCACCGCCCATTTGTATGACCTCATGCTAAAAATGGTTTTTTAGGCTGGCTGTGGTGGCTCATGCCTGTAGTCCTAGCACTCTGGGAGGCCGAGGCGGGAGGATCATTTGAGCTCAGGAGTTCGAGACCAGCCTGAGCAAGAGCAAGACCCCATCTGTACTAAAAAAAATAGAAATTAGCTGGACAAATATATATATACATATATTTATATAAATATATACATTTTTATATATATAAATATAAATATATATATATAAATAAAAGCCAGGCATGGTGGTGCATGTATGTAGTCCCAGCTACTTGGGAGGCTGAGGCAAGAGGACCGCTTGAGCCCAGGAGTTTGAGGTTGCTGTGAGCTAGGCTGTCTCAAAAAAAAAAATAAAAAAGTTTTTTATGTTTTTAAGAGTCATCAAAAAAAGATGAGTATTTGATAGACCACATATATCCTGCCAAGGCTAAAATATTTATAATCTGGCCTTCATAGAAGCAGTTTGTGGACCCCAATTGGGCAAAATGTTGTGTTTTAACTAAAAAAATCAAGGAAATCTTGTATTTTTCATATGATATACACATCAGTTTTGGTTGACAAAGATGTTGTTCTTAGTCATGGTCAAGGGCAGGGGACAGTGGCCTGCTGACTGCACATCAACTTTCTCCCAGCCCCAGGAGCTGCCCACCTCTTGGCTAGAGAAGCCCCTCAAACAATCTCACTTTGCATCTCTGTTCTTCCTTTTGCCGGCTGTGGGATCTTGGGCAATTTACCTCCCTAGGCAGTCGTTTTCCCATTTATGAAATAACCCTGGCCAGGTACAGTGGCTCCCACCTGTCATTCTAGCACTTGGGGAGGCTGAAGTGGAAGGATCGCTTGAGGCCAGGAGTTGGAGGTTGCAGTGAGCTATGATGACGCCCCTGTACTCTAGCCCGGATGACAGAGACTCAAAAACCCATAAAAACCCCAGACTTCATATGTTTGTTCAGAGGATCGAACAAGAACCCAACTTTCCCCTACTTTCTTTTGCTCTGTAGAAAACAGTTGAACAGAAAATTCAACTACATTGTAGTGATTTATAACCTTTTATTAGTGAAGGTGTCCGTAAGTACAATCGGGGTGCATATAAAAGAGTGTCATGTTCCTACTCTCATCCGTTGGAGCCATGTCTCCTTTTTCATTCATGTGACTGCAGAAGGCACTTGGTCTCGGTGAACTGTGTCTGAGGTGTGGAAACCAGGAGGGGGGAAAGAATTCTCAAACAAGGGCCTCACTCCAGAAGTTGGAAGGGTATGCAGGTTAGGGGACGAGTTGGGAGTGGGGGAGCAGTGCCACCCATTCTGGTGACTTTCTCCCCATTTCATGTAAACAAAGTTGCCGGTGACTGGTTACCGTGGATATACTTTTCTAAAAACTCAACATCTGTTGCACAATCCATTGATAGAGCAGGAGGGTGTGCCTGTGGTTCCTTTGGGGTTTTTCTCATCTGGTACATCATAAAAACTTAAATTTATACCCTGAGTACAGGGTGGTGGTTTTGATACTCATTGTGTGAGGGGTGTCTGTGAAGTCTGGAATTTGGAAATGGATTCAGACAATGCTAAGTAGAGTCTGCTGGGTTTCGCTTTGTTCTTTTTTGTTTTGTTCCTGCTGTGGTGCAAAACTTTAGCAAGTCGTTTATTCACTGGCTTTGGTTCCATTGAAGTCTGCGTCTCGCATGTCCACTTCCTCTTCGGGACCGTCCGCATTCTCAATAACTCTACGCCCGCCAGACCTTCTAGAAGGAACAAAAGAAGTCTCGTTCCCTCGCCTGTGGGTTTTAAGAAGACGACATATATTTCTTTAGTAAAGAAATCTTCCTCGAGGTTGGAATAGATTTTTTTTTAATAAGGGGCAGAAAACACAAACACTAAAAACAAATGAGACGCAGATATTCAGGTTGAAGTCAACAAACCCTGGCTAGTCCTAAGGTATATGGTTGGTTACATTTAATCGGCTGAAAGAGGGGGAAAGGTTTTTTGAAGCAAGACTGTCTGTTTTTAAACATGTCTGGCTTGGTCATTTGATGACCCACTGGATTGTGCGGTCTTTGATTTTGAATATGAGAGAAGGAAAAAAAACAGGCAAGTGGGGGTCACATGTCCCCAAGTTTTTATTCACATCCCGGGGGGGCAGAGGTGAAGGAGAAAGAACATACTGTGTTCTCCTTCTACATCTCCTTGCTTTCATTCAGAAAGAAAACGGAGGGTTTTAAGTTTTTAATTAGAAGAAAGTGAACGTGAACAAGGGCAGCCTTGAGCTCCAGCGAAGTCAGGGACACGGAAGGGTGCGCCCTGGTTAACGGGTGAGACAGCACCCCCTGCTGGTGCGGAGCATCCTGGACTGAGGTCCCCCATGGCATGAGTGGTAGGCGCCCACGCATGGCACAAAATAGGTGCTCAGTATTTGTTAGAAAAGGAAATCATACATGTTAATCCAAAGTGGATTTTAGCTCCAGCACTAGGACACCTCCCTGTCCCCCACTGCCCCCATCACCTCTCTTCTCTGGTCCTGCCCGATGCCCCTTTGAGTTATCACTCAGGCCCACCCTGATTTCACAGCAAGGGCTGGTCATGTGGAGTGAGACTTTGGGTGGGTTGGGAAGGTGAGCAGGAGGGAAACGTCAGATCCAACTCCAGCTGACCTTTGCTGTTTAGAAAAAATGCTGAACTGTTTTCAGCACCCATAACAAATACTCATGTTGGGCTCCAGCCATCTGGCCGTTTGACACAGATCAGAGGACGTCTAAGAAGAAAGCAGACGTCTGTAACAAAAGCGACCTGTTGCACACACACAGGCTGGATGGAGAGGCACGAAGGTGAGCTCACCCCACATACCGCTGCTTGAGTCAAAAGGAGCAACTCAGACAGGTGAGAGTGGAGGCATAAGCACGGCCAAGATTCATGATTGCTGAGAAGGGGAGCCCCAACATGAGCCTTTTTGGGGTCAGAGAGTGGGAGAAACCCGGGCTGGGAAAACCCACCCGGGTGTAGAGGATGGGGCTTCCCGAGGTGCAGCGATCAGGAATAGATACATAGAGCTGCGGCCACTCCCAACTAAACACCGCTAGGCCAGCTTTCCTCACTTCTTCAGGAAGCTTCTAGGCTACAAGCCCCATTGGAGAACTCTCTCCATTCCTGTCTCTAGAAGTGACCTTTAAAAGTTTCTTCTTTAGCACTGTGTTTTCCAAGAACTTGGGTCAGAGAGAAGAATCAGATGTTTGGGGTGAAAGCAGTGTGTGCTGTTCCCTGCTTGTCCCCACACGGCTCTCTTCTTCCCAGGTTCGACACCTGCTGGGCCAGCCCAGGGCTGGGAAACGGTTAGCTAACCTGTGAGTCAGGCCTCCCAGCAGCCACTGCTTGCCACCTAGCAAAGTTTAAGGGAGCAGTTGGCTCCTTCGACCTAAGAAGTAAATTGTGCCCTGGCTCACTGCCAGGTCCCTGCTGGGCTGCCTTCCTGCAGGGCAGTCTCTTTTGCTCAGGTGCCTTTCTTGAAGGAATTAATTTTGAATCCTGGATGAAAGTTGATACCGAATATGTCTGTTACAGGAAGTAAGGGACTCCTCTGAATATTCCCTCTAAGGGTCTGATCCTAGAGAATCTGGATTCTATCCATGGACTCAGAGAACTTATCCCAGGCACCACTGGCACTCCAGGAATTGGCACAAGAGTGGGAGGCCCTGCTGCTCTGCAAGGACTCCGTTTCCTGCTGACCGGTGGGTCCTGCGCTCCGGCTAGCCCTAGAATTCAGTTCATCCTGTGATCCCAGTGAGTTGGCAGGAAAGCTGCTCAGAGTGTCCCAGAGACCAAGCTGCCTCCCCTATTATACCAGCACAAACACTCTCACCAAAACCTCCCCCAGCTTTAAGTATTTGGGAAGCAACAGCAAAGCCGAGATTCTCAAAAAGTGAGGACGGACACAAGCTAGGGCTTGTCTGGCCTCTCCATGGGGTGAGAGGGCATTCAGGCCCCTGCTGCTGAACGTCACCTACGAAAAGTTGTCAAAATCCCAGAGAAGGGGAAGCCTCTTTGTTTTCTCATGGGAAGGGGGCTGTGTGCTTCCTCCAGTCTCAGGTGTCCATTCCCCCGTCCTTGAACACGTACGTGCCCGTGAGGCCTGGAAAAGGCTCTGCCAGGGCTGCGCTTGCCTTTGCGGTGGCCAGCGTCCAGCCTCCGGCACGGAAGATGCAGTTAACAGCCGGACCACGCTAAAGCCATGTGCAGCTGGCATTTGTAAGACGCGGCAGCGTGAGCTCGTTTCTCTCGCAGGCAAGTTTGTGGAAGCTTGATCATGGGAGGATGAGTTACCAAGAACCTGTGCTTTGTTATTTCGGGTTTGTGACCCAGGCCAGCCAAATTGAAGCCGAGTCCCTGCTCTCGGAGTGTAGCCAGATGGTGGAAGTGTCACATTCACTCAGCAGGGTGTCTTAACTGGCCGACGGAGGACAGCCCTGCCCCGTGTCCTAACAGTGTAAGAGTGGCCCTTGGCACCAGGGGAGGAAAAATCCAAGCAACATACACACACACAGCCTGTGCCATCCCGTCAGGACACGGAAGGCACGGGGCGGGGGGGGGGGGTGCCCGTCACATGCACCGCCCGGAAGGCGGGAAGGAGGATGGGTC